TGCAAAATTACTTGTAAGCTATTGAATTAATTAAGATTGCATTCTCATAATATTGTTTAGTTTAACAAACTCTACATTATGGCTAGAAAATTGTTTCAAAGTTTAGTGTATATGCTTACAATTAATATATTTATTTCATTTTCCGTTTTTAGTCTCACGTCTCTCGACGCAAACCAATAGTCGATTGAATCCATAGCAGAGGCTTATCGTTGTGTTGGTGTGGTGCGTCCCGTCTAGCGTGAATCAGCCTTATGTGCCTATCACACACACACACACGCACACAACACTACTACTGCTGCCACGATGGTAGAGAGAATCCTCACTCCACTCTCGCTGTGTAGTAGTAGCGCCTCTATCCTCCCATCATCGCGACAACCGTGTAGTATAGTCGGTCCTTTGGCATTCCACCCCCCGCCTCACATAGACTACTTAGAAGTGCTGGATATAAGTAGGCCATCTCAGACTCCTACCCAAACGCCTCTACCTAGAGTACACTTTCAGATCGCCATATTGATTTATCGATCAGTTGGCCCCGATGCATCATCAACACCATTCGCAGGTGCGAGTAGGAAGCTGGAGGGCGGATGGGCTGTCTCTTGACCTCCAGCCTTGCTCCTACACCCCGCAGGCGTACGCCTACTCTAGAGTACAAACTTGCCGCGTCATAGATCACCTGATTGTTGGCATGATTTAAAGTCCACCACAAACAGTTGGTTGTGTGTGAGTGTGATTTATTGTCAAGGTAATTAGAAGATATCCGACACTGGATACAGTGTGTGATCCATGTCACTGGCACCGTTAAGCCCAACACGCCACACCGAGTGGATATGTAGGTTTCATTTTTTTTTTCCACCACTAACATAAACTTCTCATATGGGAGATGTGGGGGTGGGGGGTGGAGAGAGTGAATTTGATTACTCGTGTACACATGCAGAAGCATCGTTTTTTAACAGAAAACTTTTTCACCACAGTTATAGTCTTGAGAACGCACAAATTTTATTACTGTGAAATGCTGGTGGATATTGACAAGACTACATAATTGGTTTTAGGTAAAACTACAAATTATTGACGGACATTGGAGGGGGGGAGGGGTGCATATTACCTGGACTCTATTAGCCTACTTAAATGGGCCATGACTCAACCAGCTTTAAAATGGAGTAAACTCTAGCATATTCTCCGCAATAAGTTGATGAAGCCCCGAGCCAAAACAAGCACCCAAATTGATCCGATTGGCTACTCTCACATTCAAGTGGGGATAGGTGCGTTCCCCAACACACTTCTTGCCTCAACTGTGGGGGACACCTTCCATCTATGTAACCATAAAACAGAACTTACTGCCTAGTTTACCTACCTCTTGTGCTGAAGGCGTACGGCAAAATCCAAAAGGCAAACACTATGCAACACCATGAGTTACACTTTCCTTCTATCCTCTTCTGCATAACTGCTTTTGTTTACCATAGAGTTTTGTGTTATGATTTGCAAAATTTATCGGCGGTGCTGAATGCTTCATCTGACTCCTCTGGTACAACTTGGTAGAAATAATAATAACTCCAACGGTATTTATGGTGTAGGCAGGGTAGTAAATGGACCTGAAGAGCTACGAGATTCATAGCACAGTGACTGCTGAAATGTACTCTAGGCCTAATTGAATGGATAATTTCACTCCGATTACTTATAATTAAGCGATTTTAAATTATTAAAGTCCAAATGATTGTATTTACAACAGGTAAGCTTCTTGTGCTCATGCAGAGAACTGCAAGGCTAAAAGTTTCCCGATCAAAAGGCCAAAGATATTTCCCCGAAATTCGAACCATTTACGAAGTGTAAATTCTTAGCATTTCTTACTTTATTACTATTATATTATAGATTAATGCGCTTAACGTAGTCTATACAATAAGCAACTTAAATCTGCCGATGTGTAGGCAAATGTGGTGTCAAGGTTGGAAGAAAGGAGAAGAAAAAGTGAACTCGTTGTGACGCACTTCAAAAAGTAATATTGTCACTCTAGCTTCTTTAGCACTCGGTTTTCAATTCACCTAAGAGCATAAACCGTAAGGGCTGCTTTAAAAGCGAACGGCGAAGAATAGCCTTAGCTGCAGAGACAGGTGTCACAATCCTTTCTACTGAATAATATTCAGTAGCAGCTATTAAATAGCAACATCGTAACCTAGTTGGAACTTAAGGAAAAATTAAAAGGCACCCTTAAGCGGTGCGGCGATGCAACATCTACTTCTCCGTGGAATAAGGGAATCGGGTTGTAGGAATAACTCACCATTAAATGGGAAAGTTAAAATTATTTACGATAAAATAAATACATCAATTAGGTCATTACGCCAGGAGAAAAATTACGGTATTTTTGAGAATCGGCTATAAAAAGGAGATCCTCTGTGAAAATTTAGTCGCTCAGTGTAAGCGTTTAAGAAGCCCAATTTTTAATTAAAGTATAATCGAATCCATCGAGTTAGCTAGATTAGATTAATAGGGAGATTGAACTGAGGCGGCGTTGAGGGCTACGATATGTGGAAACGCTCACACTCACCCTACGGCTTGTGGCAACGCTAAAACTGTTGTTGGCGCCAGTGGGTAAGACGCCATCGCTATCGATAGCATGCAATTCTTTAAGCATGAGCAGTACTGATGGGCAACGTTTTAGGTTGCAAATGTAGTACCTTGTTTATTTGACTACCTGCCTGATAGTCAATTTTGCAGTCATCTCGCTCTAGGTTGTGTGGATTGACCTTCAGGTTAAATCTAAGTCCAGTTTCCTCCTCTCTTCCCCAAATACAAGCCTGCAACCCTATTTAATGCCATTGCCTACATAGTGGGGAGCCTTGAGACGTTGCAATCTTGGCAGCGAAAAGTAAAAACCAATACTTTACCGTCCTGAGACTTTGCACTTAATAGAAGAAGTCATTGGAGTAAGGTTAAACACACATCTTTAGGGAGAAGGAGGAGAGACTGGACTTCGGCTTGGCCAGAATGCCAGACCACGCAAATAAGAGTAATGTCAATGCCAAATTGACTGCCTGTAGTGTTTTGTTTATGTGATTACCTGTATGACTAGCAGCCACTTTGGTAGTTCTCTTGCTCTTGTTTGCGTGGGCTGGTTTTCGGGCTAAGCCAAAGCCCAAACCTTCTCTTGAGTGCAGGTGTTCAGCCCTACTTATCGCCTTCTACTTGATGAGAAGTCTTAGAAGACTACATTCTCAATCAAATAGGCAAGTTTTACAATTAAGTCTTCAACATTGCTTGTGGCAATATTTTGCAATGCGAAAAAGTGCATAATTCGGGCAGAAGAGTTTCTAACCTCACTACGAAATGGCTGAAAACGGTGTCTGCGTTTGGTGTTTATTTTATATTCGTGTTTTACTGACAGGTAGATTATCTGAAGAATTTTCATTAACGAATTTGGATACAGAGGCAGGTGGTAACATTACGCTTTAATGCGGCACGGCGTTCGATTCCGTTTCATCTGCTACACATTCTGGCTTAGATCTCTATTTTAATTACTATCGCTTTACATGATTGAAGGTTAACGGAATTTATCTTACCAAATGCCATTCGAATCCGGTCAAAGCTGTTGAGAAGGCCAAGTCTTTATCTCCTAGCTTCTTGGGGGTTCATGACTGGCTCGACCGACTTATGGGTGCTTCTTCACAGTACTACATAAGTCGCAATGGCTAACGCAGAAGGGTAATTAAAGGAGCGTCTTAACGCTGCTCAAAAAGGGAGACAATGCAATATCTGCAAAACTCGCAGTCGCTTTAGCATTGACATTGCATGAATTTGCGTTGGTTGGCCTTTAGGCCAATTCAAGGCTCAACTTGTAAAGCTTTGTTTATGTGACCACATGACGTTTGACGGTCACTTTACAATGCGTCTGGCCCTTGTACCCAGGCGCTGGCCTTCGGGCCATGCTCAGGTCCATTTGCTCTATCCTCTTTGGAATACATGTATTTAGCAGCACTTATTGCCTTCTTCCACCCGGTCAGAAGTCTCGGGACACTGCATTAATGACAGTGAAAAGCGAACCCGACATTATTTTCAACGACTTCTACCCTAACACGTACCTATTGTTGCATGAACCTACCGTTTTACCTCGGTGATGGGAGAATCCCCAAATCCTTCACAACAACTGGATTGAGACTGACGCCTGCATTTGGTTTCACCCTATTCCCGTGTTCCACAGACAAGCTATTAGCAGCTGAAGCAACACTGCCGTGAAACATCTGGGAGTTTCGTGTCGGAATCTTCCCTATAAAATTCGTATATAAGTGTAGGAAATGACACTACGGTTTTTCTTACACACGAGACAGTGGCTCATCACACTTTCCTTGTAAAATATCTGTTTTTGACCAGGACGTTACCGTCTAGTTCTGGAAGTAATTGATGGTTAACAGGTGTATGCGGCCCCGAATCTGGTTGTCAGACTAAATGTAACTTCAGATCCAGTTGTTGTGATGGCTAGCGCGGGAGGTGACCAAGGGGAGGGCCGAAGACGTCGCTCAAAAGAAGAAGGGGACAGTGTAATACTTTATTTATGTGACCACATGACGTTCGGCGGTCACTTTTCGATTTGTCTGGCCCTTTTACTCGTGAGATGGACTTAGAGCCGTGCTCAGGTCTATTTGATCTGTCTTCGGAATACATGTATCCAGCTACACTTACTGCCTTCTTCCACCCGGTAAGAAATCTTGGAACGCTACACAGCTTCTTTCCATTATCTTAACTGCAGGCGTTCAGTCTTGGGTAATGTCAGCTTTGACCCAGTAAACGGTTTAGGACTTTGTAATACTTTATAGTAAAAAGAAAAATAAGTAACTTATGCTAATAAATACGTTAATGAAAATTAAGGCATAAAGTGAAGGCAACTGCATGAGGTTGTCTAAGTGCATTCATATCCCTTAAACGCATGCTTGTTATAATCATTTACAAACGTCGCAGTTTTTCAGTCGCTTCACAGGTTGCATCTTGGACACCTCTAGCCGATTTATAGTACGATGGATGACACTGAACTGGATAAGATTTCTCGGGATCCCAGATTCTCAGGAAAATTAAGGAAGAAAACTAGGAAGGAAAAGGAGGCTCTCAAAAGCCTTTTTGAGGGTCTTGAAGAGGAAGGATCTTTTAAAGACAAACGAGGTCGTCCTTGGCCCAGTCGACCGCTCAGATACGCCAAACAGTTGATCGAGAAGGAGAAAGAAGGAAAAAAAGAAGAGTCTGAAGATAGCGAATCGGAGTCCGACTCATCGGATGTTTCATGTGACGGTTTCTCTGATTCCACCGACGAGGTGGTGGAAGGGGACCTTGCAGACTTACAAGGTAATTACGTTTCCTCTTTAGGATGATTTTCTCCTTCTTTGACAGTTGACAATGTAATGGAATTGAATTTTAGACGCAGATTGGCATGAGTTAGTAAAGGACGCAAAAGAAGTGGAGGACGCAACACACAGGCTAGCTGTTCTCCATTTTGACTGGGACAACTCCAATGCTGAGACCATCTTCTTGGCTTTAGAGTCATTTTTACCCCCTGGAGCATGTCTAGAAAGAGTTACAGTGAGTTTTATCGTATAATAACGGTTGCCTTTTCCTTGGTATTGAACATTGGCAATTCCATGCAGATATATCCCTCAGAGTATGGAATGAAAAAAATGGCAGAAGAAGAGAAGCATGGGCCGTGTGACATCTGGGCGGACAATGAGGACGTGGAAGACGATGAAGGGAAGGATCCTAATCAGAAGTTGCCGACGGACATGGATGCTGACGAGAGAAAGGCCTGGAAGTTGACTTCTGTGCGGATAAGACGGCGTTTGCGACAGTACCAACTGCAACGCCTTAAGTACTTTTATGCCATAGCAGAATTCGATTCTAAGGAGACGGCAGCTGCGGTCTATGAGGCCTGTGATGGTGTTGAGTATGGTGGCACCGGTATTCGCTTCGATCTTCGATTTGTGAATGATGATGAGGAGTTCTCGGCAAGTTCTATTTTTTTTAGCAGAGATATACGAGTTATCTTGGTCACCATTGTGGCTAAATTGTGCTGCTTAGGAATGGTAACCGGAGTTTTTATACCCCCAGTTTCTAGCAAAACTCGTGGTATGTTATTTGTCCATAGATTACGGAATCGCGTTCTTTTACTACTTGTACATACATCTTGAGCTACAGAATTTTTCAAAATTGCTCCGGTAGTTGCATTACCTTTAGGAATGTTAACTGTTACATTGCTTATGAGAGTAAACTCTTCATTCACTGATATTTTCGCGCTGCAAAGCCCGCTAAATGATTTATCTTGACCTCTAACTTCAACTTTATACAATGTGTGCTCCCATGAGTAATATTCCTTGCAAAGATTGCGGTTTTTCGTCTTTGTTGTATTAGAGCTGAAAGAAAATTAGCGTATGCTCTCCTTTCGAAAGTGTGTCCACTTTTACGCCCAATTAGTAAAGATTACAAACAATGATTAATCACTTTCTTTACTAGGACAGATGCTTGGTTTGCAACTAAACTTAAGTAAAGCAACTTTTAATGAGTAGAAACTATTGGATCTCATTACTCAAACTATTCCAGAGGTTATTGCAACGTGATTGAATAAATTTTTATTTCAGTCAATAAAATTTCTCCAAAGTTATTCAACTTTGGATGATAAGTAAAGTGAGATGCTCATGTGAGAGCTGTATGGAACGCTTGATGGTCAACCTTACGGAGGCATGGCACCTTCACTCCACAAAAAGTCGTACTGGGGACAGGTGTGATTAAGAGATTCCTAAGTCGTTTTATGGAAACCTTTAGTTCTTTACGAAAGCCATCAATAGCATTTACATTTCTGCGGGTCCTGTGTGTTTTCATAACTCTTGTATGGCCGCGCTGTCATCACGCGTCTACTTCAAGCGCAGAAGAAATTGACTGCAGCAAGCGATTCCCCTCAAGGAGGTTGAACTTTTTGAGCTTACTCTTTTTATCCTTCGCCTGGGTAACACCCACAAGTACTGCTCAAGTAAATAGATTGCGGAGCCATTGAACCATTTTTTTGTCATTTAAATCTCGATCTTTTGCGTGCTACACTCGATAAATCGCTCTTAGCGTTTGCACATATGGTGTAGCTCGAGAGCTTTAAAGCATTTTTTGAAGAAAAGTTCCTCTGGGATTCTGTAGATTGACCACCTTGATGGATCCACCAGTTCCTGTTATCGATGTCACTTGACCTCCTCAAAGGTTAGGAAAAGTCAACAGTTCTATGAGTTACAGCAGGTGATGGACGGAGTGCAACATCCGGAGGCTCTGATGAATGGTTGTGATTGTGAACTGTAGGCTAGGTTATACTCTTCGGTGGACTTATATTAAAAAGCCTAAGTTAAATCCAAAGGCGTATGGGTCTGGCTTAATGTTTTCGTGTCAAAGAATTTGGAAGTTGACTAACTCCTATGTAGGTTTGGTGCCGTTCTAAGATTTCAGGTCTAATGACGGTGAGATGTTGTACGGTATTAGGGGCCTCAACTACGATTTATGATTTGTTAAGGTTTCGTAGAGGTTTTTTGATTGGCTATAGGGCTGTGGCAGGTAGCAAGGGGAAGTTTCAAAAATGTTTGGGATAGATGAACTGTTTTCTTCATTTTTTGAAAATTAGTTGAGCCAATGAAGTCAGATGAACCGAGTGCTGCAACACGGCGAATCTACCAAATTCCGGAAAATGTCAACCAGACTTCCCTTCTTCTGAAATCTGGTGTACTTTTGAAGATCATAGCTTCAAATTCGAGTTGACGAGTCCTCATTCTGCCCTGCTTTAGGTTTCTGCTGATGCAAAATTGAGGTCGTCAGAGGCATTGAAATGGAGAGATTATAAAGCTGAGGGTTAGCACATTATCCTCCATGCTTTAGTTTATTACGGTGATATCCTGTCGGGGCTTCGTTTAGTCCAGTGTTTGACATCCATGACATGAGTATGATTGCGCAACTAAAGGTAGCTATCTTGATTTCATGTGTGACATTCGATAATGGAGACAACAATGATTATAACAACGGTACTGAAAACTAAAAAGTATTGGAGTTTGACGCTGAAATTCCCGCCTCCAACATGCACTGTACACACTAACCCATCCATTCCGTCTGCTCAAGGTCCCGAATGAGTGGTCACACATGGTGAGTGAATGCCGTGAGGTCAATCGGGCTAGATACAAGCCGCAGATGTTCGAGAATTCTGCTCTTCATTCCACCCGCATCACCCTTAGCTGGGATCGTACGCCTGCGGCTCGCACCCAATGGCTTCGCGAGCAATTTGAGGCCGAAGCAGAACCTCGTAAACTCTTTTCCGAGGGCAAGGCGAAGGTAAGCTACACTGTAAAGTGGAGGTGGAAACAATATAAGTACATGTAGACTGTAGGGGACTATGAAGCCGTCAGAAATCATAGAACCGTAACTAATAGATATTGGGGGAACAGACAATTGAACTAGTTCAACGTTGGGTTAAAGCATTGGAGAGCTGGAAATATTGAGAGGTCGACAGGCGAAAAACTGACAAGGTGTTTTGCGCTCAATTAGCGCAAGCCTTTGCTCTGCTTCAAGGGCTGTAATCAGCCGTTTATTACCATTTGTGGAATGGGTGATTGTTAGGAAGCGTACTCACTCACACACATGCATGGGGATAATGTCTTACATCCCGACGTCAAATTGTCCAATTTGATCAGGTTTGTTACAGATTGAGAGTAGTGCCCAGAGTTGGTGCTGTCTTTGAAAGGTTATACTCTTTCGAATTTTCCATTCACATCAGCGGCTTGCCTCGACGCTACTAGGGAAAGCTTTGATTTAATGATTGTCGTAGCACTTTCAGATACAATCGAGGGTATTTTATTATTCC